CTTTGCAAATTATACAGACCGTTTGAATAAAAATACAAACATTTTAGCACTTTTCAAGGTAATGTCAGTGGTTTTTAATATGTTCCATTTATGGGTCTCATATAAACAAACATGGCGATTTTTACTGTAGCGCACACCAACGAGAACAAACTGAGATGTTACAAAGCTTTAATTAAGTATTTTGTTTTGGTGTTTTGGAGATATTGAAGGAGTCGTCGGCGGTAATTAGTGCAAATGGTGTCCACGGCAAAACTCGTACCCGTGATTTCATAAAAAAAGCGCATTGGATTGTTTATCAACTTGAACACAAATGTCGCACATGCGCGGCGCGATGACTACCGCCCTTCAAGTGACCCTGTCTTCAGAACTGTACATGTGCTTATTTAGGTGGTTCTTACAACGCATATAATTAGTAATATACAAGGCCTATGGTGGTATATAGTGTCTTCTCATCACAGTGTTCTACCACAGACTGTGGTTCTACTAAGAACAACCTACTAGTAATTTAGCTTGCTTGTACATGCGCAGTAGTATTTTTATCAGCTATCAAAGATATTGATTGTCATGTAAATTTCGTGTTGGATGGTGGCAATCCTTTTGTATTATATAACGTCTGATTCAATTATAACTCAATGGCAGAATATAGAAAAAAATAGGATATGAGTTCGACAGTTTGTGGATAGTAGTGAGTTTGTGTTTATTACAACAAGTGCGACTCACATGTGACGAATTCGTCATTATTTTGCAAATATAATATGTGTAATTTGTCGTGTCATAAAATACATATTTATATTATGAATAAAGTCTACGAGTGTGTACAACGTGTTTTAATTTCTCATCTCGCATTTGCAATATAGGACACCTACATACAGCGGAAATCGGTTCATTCACTACGTTCAATTACCCACCATAGACTCCGGTCAGTCAAAATGACTATTTTGAACTGTAGGCATTAATCAGCGATTCTGCCGGTGACGGAGAGATAGAATCCAGGTCAGGGGAAGCCCCATGACCTCAAGATTCTTTTATCCCTTACGTCACGAACCCACGTGACCGAGGCCACATGGCAACGCCATAGGCAGCCGTCTATCACTCTTAATTTCTCTCCGCCTCGGTGGAGATGAAATCTAGCGAGCTTTGCTGGATCGCCTGCTTTTTTTCCTGTCCGGATTTATAGCTTGGGTTGTAGCCGCTGCTCGGCATCCGACATGGTAGCTGGTAGGATAAGTTTTCCTTGTCTTTTTTTAC